CGGTAGTTTGGTAAAATACATTATTTACATAGACGAACATACATATATTTGCATACATAAGTACTCATGAAGAATACAGAGCGACGAAAGGAGACCGGCTGTGAAGGCCCATCGAGAAACGTTTACGGCCAGGCTGGACGTTTAAGCAGCGCAGGGCAGGGAGGTTCCAAGCCTCATCCCGAAACATGAAAACGAAGCAGACGAGGAGTAAGACATGGCCGTTGGGATCAGCGTCGCATTCCGGCCGTCACTTGCCACGCGGGAACGAACATTAAACGCATTTCGCCTGATCGTTTGGCCGATCTCCGTGTCAGGGACGGAAAACGGAGACACATCGGGGCCGCGTTTTACTGCCGCGGCCCCCATGCCGGGCGTGCCGCGCCAAGGCCCGACCAGAGGCACGGATGCCCGGCCGCGCCGCCGCCGCGCATTCCTGGCGGGGCCGTCGCTCCTTCCCGTCCCTCTCCCGCGTCATCGGCCGTGCCTTCCCTTCGCCCCTTCCCCTCGCCTCTTCCTCTCCCTCTGCCGCGTGTACTTCTCCTTCCCACGTGTCCTTCCTGTCTGTTTCTCCCTCTCCATCTTCACGCACTCCACTCTTTTGATCGTTCGTTCCTCAAGAGGGCACTGTAGTAAATATGGTATTTACCTGTATGAATAACATGTGGATAGGAAATATACGATAAGATAAAATAAATGTGCAGCTCATTACAAACCATTACACGCTAGCCAGGCTTCAAGGCATAACCTGTGCCGTTTTGAAAGGAGATGCAATAATTGGTATTTGTGCCAAGGATCGGGGGAGGGGGGCTTCTGCGGATGGAGGGGAAAAGGGACTGAAGTCTTTAGCGGCAAATCTGCGGTTCTTGTATGAATTGCAGTTAAATACCGCGGGGCTAATGCGACGGTTGGCTCTCTCGTGTGCGTGCTTTAGTGTGTTTATTTGTTTGTGGCTGCAGTGACTATCACAAATCCTCTCAGTGCCCCCCCCCCTCCTCGCCCTCTGTGGTTAGTCGCCCGAACCTGCAACAAAGAAACCGCTGAGCCAGGGGTGTCGACACCTCTTAAATTACTCAGCGCGCGGCTCCCTTAACCTCTTTCTTCTACTCTTAGTTTTATCTCAAAATGCTGATGGCCAGGATGTCATATCCAAACTTGACATCTGTAACGAAACTAAGAATAAAGGGAAGCTAATAAGAAATGTGGTTAGCACTGCAGCGGCCCGGCTGCGTTTGACGGCGGCGGGAGACTTGCCCGGACGACCACGTGCCGAAGATGCCACCCAGTCTCCTTTTTCCTGTGTCTGGCTCTGGCTACGGCTTCACACGCACACGGTCGCAACGTCCCGACGCTCTGGCTGTTATCATACTTACTGGAGTTGAACTTATTCTGGTTGCGTGTGTTTGCGCTTCCTTTTAGAAGAGCTTAGATTAAGGTCTTTGAATTCACCGTGGCAACATTTACCGTATAGCGCACACCTGCCAGGCGGTTTAAAGGATCATTTGTTTACTTACACTCGAACGTTTATTTGTGGTGATGTCCTTTTTTACTGTGCTAAAAATAAAGAGAGGCGAGTCTGTGTACGGCGGTGGAGGAGGAGGAAGAGGAGGAGGATGACGACGACGACGACAAGGAGGACGTGCAGAGGAAAGTGATGGAAGAGGAGATTGGAACGCGCCATGCCACACATTGTCAAGGGTTGCCGCCGCCCCCCGCGCCGCTGGCCTTTGCTGGTTATGTAGACAGGAGTAACGCGTGCACGCCCACACACAAAAAAAAAAAATTGATACACACAAACAAATACATGCATACACGTACTTTCGTACAAGTAGAAACATACACATATACAAATATACATACACACACACACATACACACGCACACATACTAATACACTCGTACGCACGCAAACACACATGCACATACACACGTCATTGATCCAGCTTCCTTAGGAACTTTTCTCTTTTTTTGTTATTCCGATATAGGAATATCTAGTTATGCGCTCTTACTGTGGTTTTGTTATTGCTGTTGTTTTCTGGGTAAATATGCAATGAAAGTTCGTCCTCAAGAGCTGTGGGTTCGGCCTCCGAGCGCGAGCGTCCGTGCAGCCGAGAGCCTCGTCGAGGCGAGGGGCGAGGGGCTCTGCCTCAGGGTCCGTGGCACGTAAGGAACAGTTCCCAGAAGCGCCCCGCGAGGACCTAGCGTCACACATGCTTGCCTCCGCCGCCGTCAGGGAGGGGCGCAGCTGAGGCCCGCGCCGGCCTGACAATTATCGGCCGAGAAAGTTATTCGTCGGCGAGGGATCTACTTCTTTCTCTTTCCCGAAATGTAAAGACGCCGTTTGTTTCTGTCGGGATTTTTTCGGTCGATGTGAGTCTGGCACAGCGGTTTCCACCTCTCCGTACCTAAGGCTGCCTGCCCGTCGAGTGCACACTCTCTGAAGCAACAAAGTCCTTTAAAGAGACGATGCAGTCGGTTAGAAAAATGCTGATCAGGTTTTGGATTCATTGCCTATGGTTTATGTAGAATTGTGGCGTATCTTAAATTTGCTTAACATAGCTTTTTCGTCATGCCTTGAAGCGCAATGGGTAGGCATTTATTGATTCAGAAATTGATACTATTGTTTGATATAACGCCGGTTTCTCTCTTTTCTTTCGCTCTTCCTTTATGCGTCGTCTTGACCTTTGTACTTTCGAAACTGTTAAGGCAGCTGCAGTAGAGTGGAAGTGGAGGGGCATCCTGGGTTGCGTTCATGCGTGCGACGTGCGTGTCGAGGTCATGTTGAGATAAAGTTGCCTTTGAGGTGAAGTGCGTAGCAGGTGGCGAGACCGGCCGGGCAGGTCAGGGCGCAGGTGTGGGCACATTCCGCGGATGCCAGGGCCGGTGGTGGTCGTGGCGGGCGCGGCTCCTTGCCCTTACGCCCACTAAGCGTACCCTTCCCCATAACACTCGCCGGATATGCAGCGTCAATGACTTCATCAGACGCGGCCTGACGAGGTCGCGGGCGGCCTGCAACAAGGCTCGGCGTCATTGGCTGCCAGGGAATGACGTCCAGGGAACTGCGTCGCCGTGCTGGTAAGCCATGACGAAAATAGTGGGTTGTGATGGCGGCTCGGTGGCAGGGCCGCCCACCCACTGGCCCCGCCCACCGGCACTGGCACTCGCTTGCACCGGTGACTTGGCACCGGAGGGAACCCCTGTTATGACAGCCGCGAGTTGACATAGTAATTAAGAAAAAGAAATATGCGGCAGCTGGCCAACATTCCGAAGGAATTTTTTTTTCTTCTTTTTTTTTGACAAATTCTGTGATGTGTATGTATCTTTTCACTGTCGTTAGAATTGTTACTAGCGTCTTTTCAGCATGTTGATGTGACTGACTGTGGTTACTAGATTAGGATTACTTGGTTATCTTGAGTCCTTACTTATCGACCAATAAAAGAAGGCGTTCCTGAGAAGTGACGGAGCACGGTCGCAAAATTTAGTTCTTTGCAGCCCCTCCCTTCCTTCACGTGCGTGTGTACACGTGCGCGTATTCTCCGAGACCGACTCTGTGGCAGCGCGGCATCCTGATGCAGGCAGCGCTGCATTGAGATGCGGATTCCAGCAGGCCCTTCGTGGTGGTCCAATGTAGGAGTCTTCTGGATATCAGAGAGACGATCTCAAGTTTTCGAGGCCGACATTTCTGGAATGCTCGGCGTGAGGGTCCGATACAGCTGGAAGACATTCCTCGCAGTCTGGGGTGTCCTGGCAGTCTGGGGGGGCAGGGCCGCCATTCTTCGGTTAGACCTTTTAGGTCCTGTCATTATTATAAATCCCTGAAAGACTAGGGGCGTCGTAGATGTAAAAAAAAACGCTTGGTGGTCCTTCAGCATCGTCCCGCAGAGACACGTCTCGTGTAGGGTATACTTTCAAGTTATTGTGAAAGCTGTGCTTCCAGTTAAACATACACATATACATATATAGTCTTTAACTCTACCTGCTTTGGTTGGAGCTCCTCTGCTAAGACAAGGGATCTGAGGAATGGCTGTGGCATGGCGTTTGCCCCGGGCATTCTATGAATGAGACAAGGATTGCCGCGCGCTCACAGAAGCAAGCTGTGCGAGTGCGCTTTCCCACCGATGGCAGGGTTGTTCTTGGTCGATTATTGCTTCACACGCGGGAGTGGGAGCATCAGAGTCCACGAAATGATCTCAAGAATAAGCTTCGGACGCCAGTGGACGCGGAAAAAAGCTCTCCTGTCGGTGTCCGGGTCGGCTGCTGCATCCGGC